AAAATGTATGCGTTTAATAGAAATCTTTAGAAAATGTAACTTTCCTATTTGGGGAGATGGTAATGTGAAATAAACAAAACAAAAGCCATCATTCTTCTGTGCTAATATTTACTTTTTTTTTTTTTTTGCAGTACGCGGGCCTCTCACTGCTGTGGCCTCTCCCGCTGCGGAGCACAGGCTCCGGACGCACAGGCTCAGCGGCCATGGCTCACGGGCCCAGCCGCTCCGCGGCATGTGGGATCCTCTCAGACCGGGGCACGAACCCGTGTCCCCTGCATCGGCAGGCGGACTCTCAACCACTGCGCCACCAGGGAAGCCCAATATTTACTTTTAATTCCTACTTTTGCTATGATGGAGTTACGGGGAAGCTGTGGGAAAAGAGTAGCAATAGAAGAGGAGGACGCAGGGGAGAGAGATTTCTTCAGCACCCTTTGCCTTTCCCTTGGATCCCACTCAGGAAAACTCAATTCAATAGGTGCATTTTACCCTTACCCGTGCCTCAGCACATCCCCAAACTGCTGCCTCAGGGAACAGCCCCATTTTACTGCCAACAGAGAACATACACCTTCAGAACAACTGTCCACTGAGATTCACCACTAGCATACTTCCGGTTCCTCCGATGCAATTATAAGGCCTCAGGATTTAGGATAACACAAAACCTCACAGCATTCTCATAATAGGGCTGAATTCACTGAATCGAACTGAATCAGACGTGTGTTAAACAGGAATGACAGCCATTATAGTCAGGCCCCAAAAAAGAGCCCCAAACTCATCCAGCAAAAAGAAATCACCCCAGCAAGTTTCCAGATGACTCCAACGAAGAGCCCAGCGCCCAGCCTCAGTGAGACACAGAGGAGCCTTCGCAGCTGCTTTTCTAAAGAAGCCTGGACAGCCTTGGGCTCTTTCTCTGCCTTGGCCAATATGAGTCTGGAACGGGGCCCTGTACCAGATGAATTGTCTTCTTCCTGCCAACTGCTTCTTGGCTTGAGCAGTTGCGGGAACAGCTGGTTTTATAACACAGAGTGAGCCCTTGTTCTGAGGTAGGAGAGCTCTGCATTCTGTGAAAAACTTGTAACTTTGGGTCTCTATACAACTACCTTCATGAGCTTTCACCTGAAGGTTTGGCGTGTTGTGCTTGCTATTCATGCGTCTTGCAAAGAACCAAACAACCTATGAGAGTTTTACCCAGAGGAAGTCTTCCGGCAACTCTAAAAGTCACCTTTACCCAATTCTTTGTCTCAATCAGAAACTGAAGAGTCATGAGATAAGAGATCACTTATCCCTGAACCAGTATAACTAAAAATCAACCAAATTCCAGGAACGGTAGGTTGAAAACAAGAATTTACTCCTGCTCCCCTGGCCCCAATAATCCAGTAAAGCGATTTCTTAAGGCATAAAACTGCTAGGATAGTAAGAACAGGAGAGAAGAGACGATAGTAACAAAAATTCAGAAGCTGGAAAGTGGACAGAGCTGAGTCTTAAATTGGCAGTGGAGAAAGCCAAGACCAATCCAATTTACACCACAGAATTCCCAAAAGGCCCTGGTGGCATTACTGGAAGTAGGGAACAATGGACAGGATGAACTAAAATAAAGAACTTCTTTCAAGAAATAGCTAGATTCCCCAGACCACGCACCTACTCTGTAAAGCAGAGTGACTGCTCCTCTCCCATCTTGGCAAAAGATAAATAAATATACAGAACATATATTCTCTGAAAAGTATAAAATGTAAGTCTCCGAGTGAGGGACTCAGCACAACTTGTGACGGAGGGGTTCTGTAATGAAAACTAGGATTGGGTGGACACATGCACAGAGATATTCACCCAAGCCCTTTCCCCCAACTTGGTTCCCATAAAGATGGCAGCAGTGCCCAGACCCTACAGGCAGGTGACTGGAAGGTCTTCCCTGGGTGATCTGAACAGCCAAGAAGAAACTGACATGGCTGGTTCCCCAAGGAAAGGGCTACTGACAGCACCTCTAGTGAAGCTATTTCCAACAAACCCCACTCATGTGTACCAGGCTCCAATTAGCCTTGTTCCAGTCCACCCCCTGCAGTTCTTGAATACAGCAGACAGAGAAGGGCAACCTGACATCTAAGGAAAAATTCTAAAATGAAAGAGTCCAAAACAAACAGAAAAATCAACTTGCATCACAGGGATACAATCAGCAGAACTCAGATTATGGGAAACACAATACGACAAATGGTCCAGTTTCTTCAACAAATAAACTGCGCAGAAAAGGACAATAGAAAATGGGGGAACCCATAGAGTGAAAGAGACTTAAACCACATAACAACCAATTGTAGTATATGGACCTTATTTGAGTACTGATTTAAACAATCCAATTGCTTTTTAAAAATAAGGTAAGCAGAGCAATTTAAATATTGTTTGGGTATTTGATGATATAAGGAACTGTGGTTAATTTTCTGGGTATGGCATATCATGGTTATGTTTTTACAGTCCTTATATATTAGAGAAGTACACTGAAATATTTATGGATGAAACGATGTGATGGCTGGGATTTGCTTCAAGACAATCTGGGTGAGGGGCTGACTAAACAAGCATGGTCATGAGATGAAGGGAATACAGGGATATTTTAGACTCTCTACTTGATGTCTGAAATTTTCCATAACAGAGAAAAACCATTACTAGAATCCTCAGAGAAAACAATGAAATTGTAAAACAGAAACAAAATAATATAAAAAGGGAACATTCAAAGAAAGTTTAAAAGCCCCTGTAAATAAAAAAATAATAAGAGAAATAAAACATTCAGTAAAGAGTTGGAAAAAAATTGGTGGCATATTCCAGAGAGTACAGTGAAAAACTTTAGAAATGAAAATAAAGAAAAGAATAAAGAGTTAGAGGGCTAGTCCAGAAGGTCCAAAATCTTGGTAACAGTTCCAGAAAGAGAGAAAAGAGAAAGAGAAGGAAGGAATTCATCAACACAACAATGTAAGAAAATGTCCCAGAACTGAAGACCATGAATTTCTAAAAGAAAAGATGTACCAGCTGCCTGACACAATGGAGGAAAAAAGGCACACAGCAAGACACAGCATTGTGAAACACTGGGAACAAAGAGATTTGGCAAGTGTCCAGAAAAGACAAAATAAAAACAAAAGCCCTGGCTACATAAAAAAGATGAAGAGGGCTTCCCTGGTGGCGCAGTGGTTGGGAGTCCCCCTGCCGATGCAGGGGGTGCGGGTTTGTGCCCCGGTCCGGGAAGATCCCACATGCCGCGGAGCGGCTGGGCCGTGAGCCATGGCCGCTGAGCCTGCGCGTCCGGAGCCTGTGCTCCGCAACGGGAGAGGCCACAACAGTGAGAGACCCGCGTACCGCAAAAAAACAAAACAAAACAAAACAAAACAAAAACACTCTGAGCAGTTTCTGGCATAGAGTAAGAGCCACAAGAGTTGTTCTTGTTATCATCACCAAAGAAACGACTCTTTATCCTATGTTAACATATAACTACTTGATATATTACAATAATTAAAAAGAAAGCAATCAGTGTAAAACACATGTCCAAACCAAACATATTTCCAGCTTTGGAATGACTGAAAATTGTCATAGACCATAGGGTTTTGGAGGTTAACAGAGTTCTGAGATTTTTCTAGTGCAATTTCCTTGTTTCAAAGGGTAGGGAATTGAAGCTCAGAATAGCTAAGTAACTTGCTGGACGATACAGCCAAGTCAGGAGAGGAGTTGAGATGAGCAGTCAGGTGTTTCATGTCAATGCACTGAATTTCACAAGTGTAGCTACTCAAACTCCATCTACGGTATCGTCACAGGGTCAGAATTTCACATATACAAAAAAAGTATCACCACAGAAATATTTTATCCAACTCCTGTCATTTTACCCTAAAACCTGCCACTTGGTTCATGATATACGTAAACAGAAAGACCACCTAGAAAGATCCAGCCGGGGCAATAAAGCGAGGAGGCTACAGTTGGGTTTACTGGTTAGGTTGACAAGAGGAAGGTAATGTATTAGATTCACTGTCCTACACAGAGTTGTTCTGATTCTAGGATGGATACCTCTAGTGGGTTTACACACAAAAGTATGAATATTAATCCCTAGTGCTGTGGACCAATATGGTGCAGCCTGGATGGGCATTTCTGATGCCTGAGTAGTGGAATGGGTAGCAATGCACTTCCATCACAGTCTTCTAAGTCTTTCTAAAGGAATAAACACAACTTGCAGGATTAGTAGACATTTTGGTCACTGCTTCCAAGGAAATGATGGATCTGGCAATGAGGACTACTGGGCAAGCCCAGTGAAGAGCGTGAGTGTCGTCAGGGGTGAAAGCACCACTTGTTACTCCTTTGAGGTCTGAGAAATCAGGCTGGGTGGGAATTTTCCTGGTATAAATTGTATGATCTGTCTTCATCTCATTCCAAGTGAAATTAAGCCCTCTGTACATTTGCAGAAAATCTCATTCAACAGTTTGAGATGAACTTATTTCAGAAGAAAATTGCCCATTTTCTTTTCACTGAATCTCAGGGGGAAAGTACAGAATAATTTCTCATCTCTAAAACACTGAAAACCTCTATGCTTCTTGAATATTTCTTACAAACGAATTTGCAGTTACCTTTGGATATAGTACGTGTTCCACAGCTATCCAATACCAAAGTGGTGACTGGATGGATTAAACACCTCAATATTTTCACCATTTATTGAGAGCTGAGATTTAAAGTGACAAGTCTAGAGTCCAAAAATACAAAAAGTGCTATTTTCAAATCTTTTATCCTTTTTGCAAGTGCTTATTTTGGTATTTTTGATTAATGAAAAGATTTTCTCCTTTTACTTTCTTATAAACATGAGGTGCTTCCTGGAAAATCATTCAAACAAACAATATAGAAGGATGCACTGTAACTTAGCCAAGTTAGTAAAACATAGAAAGAAATAAGAACTATTTCGAAATATTTCCAATGTCTTCTGTGTATGAACAGAAACATACAGAAAATACAGTTTTTTAAATGAAAGGTACGGCAGTGTCAACACTCACAGAAAAAGGAGGATTCCGGTATTTGCCAGGGCGAAGGCGAGTCCCAAAATCCCACTGCCCATAATGGCGTTGCTTAGGTTAAAAACAGACATGCCCAAGGAGGTTGTTCCTGGAATCTGAACAGAGACACATTAAGCAAAAGAGTCCTCAAGACAGATCATCACGCCAAAGCCTTTAAAGAAAGCACTATCAGGAACCAACAGGGAAATGAAGTTCGAGGAATCCTTTCTTAGTGGTCTAGTTACTTTTTTAAAATGGGTTTCAGGAGAAAATACGTAGGCTCCGAGGAATAACCCGGTGAATAAATAGCTATGTTTTTGGTACTACGCTGGATGAATTAACCATCTGTCACAATTTATGTAATTTTAAAAAATAAGCAAACTTCATTATAATGACACTTACATAGTCATCACATTTCTTTTTTTCCAAATGGCTGTTCGTGAGACTCCTTCTACTTTCACGATCAGAAATAAACTTGCTGTGAAGAGACGTATTATGATTTAATTTCATGATAATGACTTGAAAATTTAACATCATGACTAAATGATTTATTACTTACCAAAACATCACACATAAAAAGTTATCAACCAGTTACTTAAGAGTTTATAGTCCTATTCAACCACTCTCCCTACCTCATTTTTGTTTTGGTTTGGTTTTTTTTTGCCAGTGTTAGTTGTCCACATTCTTGTTTTACCAAATAAACTAAACGTGCTCCAAGGGCAGACACCTTGCCTCATTCCTTTTTATATCCCTCACTCTACTTAGCACAAAACAATGCAAACAGCAGGTGCTCATCTTGAGAGGAAATGAAAGACAACCATAAGTCAAAAAGAGCTATAGATTTTGAATCATTTTAATACTAATAAATTAAAACATTATATGCAATGCAAATTGTTCTCTAATGGAAAATTAGATGATGTCAAGAATACTATAGATTGTTCTCTAGATTGTTCTCTAATGGAAAATTAGATGATGTCAAGAATACTATAAAGCTGGCATTTAAAAGAATATTGGAGGCAGGATTCCTTCTGAGCTCACATTCCTGGAGCACAAAGTTATTACATAGGAATTCCCTCCCCCCAGCAAAAAGGAAAACAACTCTTTTCCCATCACACATTCTTTCAGCACCTGCTTATATGCAAGTCACTAGACCAGGCAATGTGGGAGATATGGGGGTGTGTAACAAGTGATGCAGCAGTAGCCCACAGGAAATTATGGTGGAGGAAGCAGGGCATATGGTCCATGGTTAGAGGCAGAGCTAGTAGGGCTTAAAGCAAGCATGGGATTCAGAACGTGAGTTCAAATTCTCACTTGCTCTGAGGGCCTGAGTATGCTACCCCAGTTTCCTGATCTGTGAAACGGGAACGACGCTATTATATTACCTCATAGTGTTACTGGGAGAATTAAATGAGAGTACATGTAAAACATCAGTACAGCTCCAGGCACAGAGGAAGAGCAACACGTGGGAAAGATTCAGACAGGGTGAATGGAGTACAGTATACACAAATATACAGAAGGAGGAATTCAGAATGCTCTAAGGACCAGCAAATATATTTGGGATTAGTATCAGAACTTTAAGTGCTATTGTCAAAGAAAAGTCTATTCATAAGCAAACTGCTGCATGTATTAGTTAAGACATGTTAGGGGTGCTTTTCGGCTCTCCTTCTGGAAATTTTATTATCTGGTCTAAGTAAGAAATAATCAGTGCGTTTTCCACTAATAAATATAAAGCCACTTGAATTGGACTATCTTAAAGAGGCATATATCTTTAAACTATACATTATATTTTCATATGCTTTTTTTTTTTTTTGCGGTACGCGGGCCTCTCACTGTTGTGGCCTCTCCCGTTGCGGAGCACAGGCTCCGGATGCGCAGGCTCAGCGGCCATGGCTCACGGGCCCAGCCGCTCCGCGGCATGTGGGATCTTCCCGGACTGGGGCACGAACACGTGTCCCCTGCATTGGCAGGCAGACTCTCAACCACTGCGCCACCAGGGAAGCCCTCATATACTTTTTTCTAATGAGGCTATATTTCACCATAAACCATGTTTTAATGAAAGATATATATCATTAATGTTGGTTTTATTTGTCTACCGTTTTCATCTTTAATCCATATGCTTCAGGTCTGCATTATTTCACCAGGAGAAACCAAAGCCAGGCAACATAGATACTATGAACTTGCCCTGAGGCCACCATCTGGTATGAGCGGCGCAGCCTGCGGTTTATTTCCTTCCGCATCTGCCTTTGCCTAGGACCTGTCCAGTGACTGTCAGAGATGAAAAGGAAGTGAAGAAAACCTTGGTCTCCTGAAACCCAGGAGCTGACATTCCAGCTGAGGAGAGAACAGACCAGCTAACACCAGAATAGGAACATCAGGCCATGCAAAATGGAGATGAGATAAGGAAGCCAGAGAAGGAAAAACCATTATTGGGTGGGATTAGCCCGAGGAAACTAAAGGGCCGAGGCCTGAGAAACAGCATTGCAGGGTCTTAGCAAGAGAATGACATAATGAAAGCTGTGTCTTTGGAGACCCATCTGGCAGTTCTCTAGCCTTGGCTCTTCTTTTGCCCTTAACATTTTAAATCTTTCCCAAGAACTGAGGTTTACAGATCTGGCTGGAGAGGGACCGGGAGAGCAGCCTTCCTTTTCACCCAGGCGGCCCAAGGGAATGGGGGTGCTGGACTTTCCAAACTGAAATTGACTCATATTTAGTGTGGCTGTTAAATAAAAGACTGTATACAATCAGGCTAATTTTAACAATCAACTCAAGTCTACCAAATCATTATCCACAAGGTCCCCTGTTTGCCTTTCTTGCAGAGAGACTTGCTTTTCAAAGAGAATCTCCATTGTTTTTAAATTAAGGGGAAAGCCCGAACGTTTTCAAATAAACTAAACCAAACACCAGTAAACCTCCTATTATGGCAGATCTAAGTTCCTGGCCTGCCAATGCTCCCCAGACTTGCGGCAGAAGACTGATAGAGAAGAATCGGATCAAAGGCACCTGGACGCAGGGGCATTCAACAGGGTCAAACACTGCAACGGAAGGGGAGGAAGAAGAGGCCCCTGCATGCTTGCCAGCTCTCTGCGGCAGCGCTTCTGCAGGATGAGAATAATGCAAGTGACCTGCAGAGCTGTTGTGATGAGTAACCATGAAAAAGTACATTAAAACACATAGTGCTTTGAGTGCTTCCCGATTCTGTCTCTTTCTTTCTGCTTTCTACAGCAAGACTTAATAGGTTTTCCCAAAAATCTTCACTGGTGCTCCCACCGAAAAAGTTTCGAGTCCAAACTGCTCGCCCTGCAAATTCCAGGTACTGCTGAATTTGATTTTGCCTCACTGTTCAGTCTTAGCTCCCCCTGCTCTTCCAAATGGTCTTCCCAAGAGGCGGTGAGGATCAAGATAAGACCAGGGCATTCTGAGAATAGAGGCTGAAAAACAAGTACCGCTAGGAATCCACTCTCCCCTCAAGAGACCCTCCATCCTCCTCTCTGCCAATGCCTTCCTGCCCGTTCACAACCCTCATCCTCCATGAGTCTGCTGATGTTCTGGTTTGAACGCAGTTTTCTGACTCTGATCTATTTACGATTTTTCTGTAGCACAGACTGTGGCACTAAGCTCATCTTGCATCCAGAGCGGTGGTGTCATGTTCTCACTCCCTTAGCTCCTCCTTCTATGTACCTGCCCATGTGTTAGCAACTCAGAGGAACCCTCCATAAACCAAATGCGCCTCTTCCATTGAGGAACTAGGGAGTAGCTTAGGCTGCAGGGAAATCTCGCTCAGTAAGAACGAGTACTCAGATAAAGCCTCTGTATTCTCTTTACGGTATTTCAACTTGTTCTTCTGCCTTTCGATCTTTGCTTTGTATTTCTGCAAACTTTTTTTTAAAACAAAATAAAACCAAACTTTTTTTTTTGTAATGGAAAAGTCCATTTATAATAACTAGGTCAAGCAGCTTACCACAAGTTTCTGTTATCTCACCATTTTAAAAATGCAATTTCATGTTAAAAAGCACTGACCTCTGGCAAAGACCTCTTTATTGACTTAAAAATGCACTATTGGAGAAGGTGCCTTTGACACGAGGTCTTGGGAATGATAAAAGTATTATTAAAAAAGCATTTTCAGTGGATCGTTCTGTACCCATAGAGCAGAATCTGATCAACTCTTAGGTAGCCAATTGTTCTGTGAACAAAACAAAACAAAAATTTACAGTGGCTGTCATGCTGACCTTCAACAGACAAAGCCTTAAAAAGGATGTAGGCGTTATACTGACGTAGTGTGAAGGGAGACAAGCAATATAGAGCAGTTATTCGAAGCCAAAAATCAATCAACAACAATCCAGTTAAGGATGGGTTGTACAATGGGAAGATAATCTTCCTATTTTAATCTCTACCAATCAGGTTCTTACTAGGTTATAGTGTTCCATTGGAAGATTTATAACACAAAAGAGATGAGTGGTTGAACTTAAATGACCTTTCCTAGCTCTTTCCCTGAAACTAACAGTCTATAAAAAAGGAAAAGAGAAAAGGAGGAAAGAAGCATGTAACTGAGAGACTGGAAAACATGAAAGAATTAAAGAAATAGGCATTTAAAGGCATTTAAAGAGAAGACTGAGAGGTGAGAAAAGCCTTATCTGGTGGATAAACTCTACCCAAAATAGGAGCAAACAGATTTTCGTTGTAGCAGGAGCAATTAAAGCCAGGGAAGAATTTTCTGAAATGAAAACTGAATATGGGAAGAAGTTATGGTATCTTCTTCCCTAAGGTATAGAAAAGACATTAGAAGAAGAGAAGGGGTAACTTTTCAAGGGTCCTCCCGATGATACAAATGTAGTTCATGAACTCCGGAAGACATACAGGGACCAAGGAAGAAAAAGGCTGATGTAAGGTGTAGTGACAAGAGTTCCTCATTAAGAAATATCTTAATGAAAGACTCTCAAATTTTGTTAGAAGCTTCCTGGGTCATAACAACAATAACTATTCATGGAGATTAGAGCAACAGTAGATAAATATTAAAATATGTGAATATTTGCCTGGCTACAGCTAGGATAATCTATTAATATTTCAACGACTTTCAGATAACAATAACCAAAAATCATCCCAAACCTAAAACAGTATTATTAGTCCTTGGGTGCAGAAGAAAGAAGTGCTTGCCAAAGAAAGAGGGTTGCACGTTTACTGTTAGAGACTTTCCTCGTACTAAAAGACTTACTCTTGCCAGACACCGTGTCAAGTGCTTTACATGAGTTTTCTCATCTCTTTTCACAATAATTGCATGTGGTTAGTACTATTTTTAGCTCCATTTTGGAGAAATTAAGTAACTTGACCAAAGTTACATTATAACTAAACTGCTGAGCCATGATTTGAACGTAAGCGGGCTGATGGTACAGCCTGAGTCCTTAACCTACAAACAGCATTGCATTTAATATTCCCCAACAATCCCAGGAGGTCAGGTATTATTTTTATCCCTGTGTTACAGGGATGGAACTAAGGCTTAAAGTACAAGATCACACAAGACCTATGGATGGAGCCAGGATTCAATATAAGTTGAAATCCAAACCATGCACTTAACTGCTCTCTCTGTCTCTGTCTCTTTCTTTCATTTAACAAATACTTTGTAATGCCTGACCTGCTCCAGGCACTATTACCATATCATTACAAGGTACAAGAGATATAAAAATGATTAAGATGGGTCCTTCTCTCAAGAAGCCCACATCTAGAGGAATGTCTAGAGCTCATTACTCAAAATGTGGTCCATGGACCAGCTGTAAGGGCATCACCTGGAAGCTTGTGAGAAATTAGAATCTCAGGCCCAGTACCAGAGCTACTGAATCAGAATCTGCATGTTAACAAGGTTTCCAGGTGTTTCACATGCACATTAAAATGTCAGCAGTACTGGTCCAGTGGACACTTCAAAAGGCTTTGCTTTGTAAAGCAATTATACTCCAACAAAGATGTTAAAAAAAAAAAAAAAGGCTTTGCTGTTCCAGGTATAGGTTTCTATGACTACAACCCACAAATTAGGGCATGAAATAAAACAACTGAACTGGAATAAGAGCAGGTGTCCTAATGCCCAAATGGCTCTACTCTATTTTTTTTCTTTTTTGCGGTACGCGGGCCTCTCACTGTTGTGGCCTCTCCCGTTGCGGAGCACAGGCTCCGGACGCGCAGGCTCAGCGGCCATGGCTCACGGGCCCAGCCGCTCCGCGGCATGTGGGATCTTCCCGGACCGGGGCACGAACCCGTGTCCCCTGAATCGGCAGGTGGACTCTCAACCACTGCGCCACCAGGGAAGCCCCTCTACTCTATTTTTAACTAAACTTAATAAAATGATTCTTAAGGTATCCTAGTAGGGAGTTTCCAGGCAAAGCTATCAGTTATACGCCAGCTAATGAGAAGTCAACATTTGTTTTCAACATTTTCTCTAGCTTCCTAAAAAAAGGCACTGTTACCTAGAAGTTCACTGTTTTGGGAGATGGTTTTCCTAGATTCATATAATTGGGCTTACCTTCCTCCCACCAATGTGAAAAAGCTAACAGAAGAGTCAGAAGTATTAGGTGTAGCATTGCAGAAATCACGGGTGTGTGTGTGTGTGTGTGTGGGTGTCTTCTTTGATTTTTATTTACCTTTTTGGCTTCATGCTGTAATATGTTGTTTTTAAATTTTCATTGTTCTAGAGCCAGAAATGAAGCAAAATTCATAAACCATGTCAATGAAAGAGGAGAGATAAAATAAAGCAATAAACGCATCACACCACACTTGTGACAGTGGAACCAAATTCCAAAAAACAGGAGGCTGTACAGCCCATGTCTTAGTCATGGTCTCCGGGGAAGTGAGCTCCCCTGGCAGGCACCCCAAGGGGCGAGAAAGGGTGCCTCCCCCTACCGCAAGAGGTTATCACCTCCCAAACAATACTTTTTCTTAGTAAAACTTTTAAATATCAAGTTCAGATCTTAAGCTGAATATTATAAAAGACTCTCATTTTAAGGTCCTCAAGGTTTACACTGCTTTGGGAATGAAGCTTTGTTATAAACCTAAAATGTGCTAATTGTGAAATAGCTGGAATCCCATCCACCACCGTTAACTGCAGGTCAGCAGTGACTACAGAACACCCCAGGGGCCCAGAGCAGAAAATAGCACTGGTAGAGTTTAGCAGAGTTTAATTGATAGTAGAGGCTATCTTTCTCATTCACGCCCGAGCAGTTTAATCAGAGGCAGCAGGACAGAGAGGAAAGACAGGGATTTCAGACAGACCTGTGTGTGCCCTTGAGCAAGTTATTTTATTTCTCTGAGCCTCCATTTTCTTATGGTACACTGAATTTTTAAATTTTCCTTATTTGCAAAAGAATACATTGAATGATGTTATAAGGATAAGTGGTAATATATGTTATCACACCTGGCACTCAAGAAATGGTAGTTATTCTTAATAATTACACAGAAAGGTGGTTGAGAGTCCGCCTGCCGATGCAGGGGACACGGGTTCGTGCCCCGGTCCGGGAAGATCCCACATGCCGCGGAGCGGCTGGGCCCGTGAGCCATGGCCGCTGAGCCTGCGCGTCCGGAGCCTGTGCTCCGCAATGGGAGAGGCCACAGCAGTGAGAGGCCCGCGTACCGCAAAAAAAAGAAAAAAAAAAAATTACACGGAAAAGGTGAAAGAAGCAAACTTGAGTTCAACAATAAGAAGTATCACATGGTGAATGATACTTGGATGGCAATGAGGAAGTATTTGGGTTGGAGACAACCTCTGAGAATACATAAGGAAGAGTACAAGGAGGAGGGGCAGGGCTGAAACTTCTGAGTGTCTGTAAATGATGGCAGCCCAGTCAATTACACATTGTATCAGAATGCAGAGCAGATTATCAGAAATGATTTCTGTGAAGACGCCTGGTTAGCTGACATAATGTTTTCATCTTCCTCCCAATTTCCTTTTGACCCCGCTCCCGCAAGCGTAGCATGGCTGGTGTTCTAGTGAGTAGTCCCCGTATATTCCACTCTCTCCTCCCAGCCTTTTAGGAGGCCTTAGGCTTCAAACAAACCTCACAACTAGCTCCCAAGCTGGAAAGCTTCCTGCTAAGGGATCCATATAAGCTGGCTGTAAAATCAGAAGGTCAGAATTTGCAACAACATGGATGGACCTAGAGAGATTATCACACTAAGTGAAGTAAGTCGGAAAGAGAAAGATAAATTCCATACGATATCACTTACATGTGGAATCTAAAATATGACACAAATGAACTTATCTACGACACAGAAACAGACTCACAGACACAGAGAACAGACCTGTGGTTGCCAGTGGGAAGGGGGTGTGGGAGGGATGGATTGAGAGTTTGGGGTTAGCAGATGCAAACTGTTATATATGGGATGGATAAACAACAAGGTCCTACTGTATAGCACAGGGAACTACATTCAATATCCTGTGATAAACCACATGGAAAAGAACATGAAAAAGAATATATATATATATGTATAGCTGAATCACTTTGCTGTACACCAGAAAATAACACGACAATGTAAGTCAACTATATTTCAATAAAATACATTTTTTAAAATAATTAAAAGATAAAATCAGAAGGTCAGAGAATGCCCCAAATCATTAAAAAAAAAAAAAAAGATATTTGGTCCTACTCTTGTAACTTAAGAAACACAGGACCCAAGGGTTGGAAGGACTTGCTGAGGTCACAGCTAAGGGTGAGAGCTGCCAGGCCAGCATTCTTCCTACCCGCCCCCTACCTCCCCTCACTCACTGTATCTTTTCTTTTCTTTCTCTTTCATGTACTATTTCTCCGTTTCATGTACTGTTTCATCTACTATTTCTCATAAAGCCATTTGGCTCTGTGTTATTATTACTTAAAATCCATATTACAAACGATGCTTGTAGTGACGTATTTGTCATTTTAACATGGGAACATTGACAAATGCGACTTTGACCATTCCTTGATTAACATGTGTGCAAGGCCAGATGACTGTAGTACACATTCAGATATGGCACGCAGTGAAATTCCAACAGTTGGTCTGATTCATAAACACAGAGCTTTTGAAAAGTTAGGGCTGGTTGTGGTCCAATGTATTTATACATTTTTATTAGACTCAATTGAAAGATTTGAAAGGATGAATAAATTACTTTCCTATTTGCTTCATCTGCTGTTGCAGACGATGCCCAACAGATGTCACATATGAAATTCAAATTACATCTTCAAATGGAGCATAACTTTAGTAATGAATAATTCAAGAGAATAACTGAAAACCAGAATGATATTTTAGAGACATTTCTTTCATTGGAGAGAAACTGTTCGTGGAAAAATACTCACCTATTTATCTGACCATTTTCTACCTCGGTGAAATCATTGGAATCATTGCTAATGTTATCATCTTCGGGCACTGTCATGTTTTGCAATTCAGTTAATTCGAGTCCACTTTTGAAATGCATCATGTTTAGAAAGTACCTGTGGTCCAAATCCTCCTTTTCTGAGTGTATTTACAAGTGGATAGCAGCAAAAATATAAGGTTCACACCCCTAAAATACAACACAAGGAAAAATAATTAAACATACGAATATCACACTGATTGCACATAAGCTATTACACACAAATGCTTTGCTGATAACGTAACTTTTACATTGTTGCTATTCAAAACATTAAAGCAATCTTGGTGCATCAAGTTATAGAGGCTGTAAATTTTCTGTCTTTCATAAATCTTCCTCCATTTTTAACTATAAAATGAGTCATGTCCCATAATCTTTATGCTCACGTTCATAGGAATGCCATGTGATCTGTAGGCAACAGTGATGCCCTTTTATGAAGCAGTGTGTTTAAAAGGAAAGCGAATAGGTTATTTTAATGCGTCAGACCACAGGGCACACATATAGCTGGGTACAGACTGAACAGGCACAAAAGCACGTCTGATTTAGCAATCCCAGTTTAATAAAAATGCAAATCCTCAATAAATGGCATCATGCAGGATCAACCACCCAACCTGGAGGTCAAGCAGCAAAGGACATATCTGTGTTTTGAAATTTAGCAAACCGTTTATCCATCAACTGCAAGAGATTAAATCAGTCTCTTCAGTGAAATCACTCCATGTCAGGGAGTTAGGGAATTAAAAACTCATACTCAGGGGATTTAGGTTAATCCACCTGAAACTGTATTTCCTCACAGAAATGAAAGACTTGCCGAGTTCACATTTTCTCCCACATGGATGACTGTGATTTAAATTTCTAAGTGGTCACCAATAATATATAAGGGGGTAAAGAGTTTCAGACACACAGCATCACAAATCAAAAAGCAGGTGGCAACAGAGGTATGGTACTGTGATTTATTATAAAGAAGACATATTTGGTCTTCGTTCCTATTTCTGGTTCACAGCTCCCCAAACCCTTAGAATTTCCTAAGTGTTGAGGGTGATAAATGTCTTTTGGTATATTAATGAGGTGACTTTGGGAAAGCACCTACGGATGGGGGCTGGTTGCCAGTGGAGCCAAACATGTGATTAGAGAGTTGGAATTTTTAGCCCCACCCCGTGATTTCCGGGGAGAGGAGACAGGCCAGATCTTGAATCAATCACTAGTGGCCAATGAGTTCATCAATCATGCCTATGTAATGAAGCCTCCATAAAAAGCAAAAAAAGGAGGAGGTTCAAAGAATATCCATACTAGGGACCCAGAACTCCACCCCGTACTGGGCACCCAGCTCCACAAGGACTGAAGCTCCTGTGTTGAGGACCTTGCCCTGTGTATCTCTACATCTGGCTGTTGATTTGTATCCTCTGATATCTTTTGGAATAAATGGGTCACCTAGTGAGTAAATGGGTTTTCCTGAGTTCTGTGAGCTGATCTGGCAAATTAATGGAACCCAAGGAGGGGGTCATGGGAACCTCTGATTTATGGCCAGTCAGTCAGGAGCAAAGGCAATAACCTGGGCTTGTGACTGGTGTCTGAAGTGAAGGGCAGCCTTGTGGCATGGAGCCCTTGACCCGTAGAATCTCATTCTATCTACCAGTGGACAGTGTCAGAATTGAGTTGACAATTGTGGGTGTGGGGAAGCCTACACACACACACACACACACACACACACACATTGGAAATGGGTCCAGGAACCCTTTTAAGAGGTAAATGCAACTTCAAAAGTAAGGCCTGTAAAGGTATAGGAGCCTCACTAAGATAATCTCAGTGAGGCAATGGGGATCATGGAATGAAGCAGAATGTCAGCGAGATCTTTTTTTTAACCTCCAATGGATGATCCATCTTGGATGATGTTTTGATATTTTTGTCTGATCCTGAATTCCATAAGATAACTGTAACCTAGTTAAGAGTCAAAGCTCCAATGTGCCCATCTAAGCATCCTAGTATATCTGAAGAAGCATTTTGCTAACTGATAATATTTTCAGGACCCCTAGTAAGTACCCTAGAATGACACTTTTTTAAGAATTTCCTTCCTCTCAACCTAGGGCCAAGACGGGAATAAAGACGCAGACCTACTAGAGAATGGACTTGAGGACACGGGGAGGGGTAAGGGTAAGCTGGGACAAAGTGATTGAGTGGCATGGACATATATATACTACCAAATGTAAAACAGATAGCTAGTGGGAAGCAGCTGCATAGCACAGGGAGATCAGCTAGGTGCTTTGTGACCACCTAGAGCGGTGGGATAGGGAGGGTGGGAGGGAGACGCAAGAGGGAAGAGATATGGGAACATATGTATATGTATAGCTGATTCACTTTGTTACAAAGCAGAAACTAACACACCATTGTAAAGCAATTATACTCCAATAAAGATGTTAAAAAAAAAAAAAAAAGAATTTCCTTCTTCTCTTCCCCACAGCTAGGCCCCACCTTACTCCTTTCCATTCACACCGTCTCCTGTCTAGAATGAATCTTCCCTGGTTCCAGGATCCTTTAGCTTCCACAAGATAAATACTGTCTAATACCTCAGATTCCAGGAGCCTCACCCTTCCTGCAGGGCAGGGCCTCTCCTGGAAAGCAGGAAGCCAGGATGGGAGATTGGAGCTCCCCGAACTCCTGGTCTAAGGCTAACCTGGCAGCTCAGGGCTGATTCTTCCAGCTAGGGTGGTAGTGCTGGAGCCTGGGCCATGACTAATTGCTTTTAGTGTCTTCACACAGCAGCAGCATTTACAGCCTGTCTTTACTTTGCAAAAGTTGAAGTGCATCAGAAAGGTTAAACCCCCTTGTCACCCCTTGGCCCCTTCTGAAGAAAGCTGCACAAATGGACTGGGCTGGGTAACCCCTAGGAGTCTTGGCACACGGCCTCTTGCCTGTATGACTCCCTCAGAGGCCACTGAAGTGATACCATAGGGCTGCTAGAAAGTTCACTCAGTGGGGACTTCCCTGGTGGTCCAGTGGTAAAGAATACGCCTTACAGTGCAGGGGACAGGGGTTCGATCCCTGGTCAGGGAACTAAGATCCCACATGCCACGGGGCAACTAAGCCTGCGCGCTACAACTACTGAGCTCGCGTGCCTCAACTAGAGCCTGCGTGCCGCAAACTACAGAGCCCACGTGCTCTAGAACCCGCGCCCCACAACTAGAGAAGAGAAAGCCTGCACGCCACAACTAGAGAGGAGCCCGCGCACCACAACGAAGAGTCCCACATGCCTCAACAAAGATCCCGCGTGCCGCAACTAAGATCCGACACAGCCAAAGAAAGAAAGAAAGAAATAAATAATAAAATAAATCTTAAAAAAAAGAAAAAAAAAGTTCACTCAGTGGATGGTGTTTCCAATCTGGGTTAAGGAGTCCTTTTCTCTCTAAAAACTTGTAGGAGACAGGGTACTAGACAAAAAATTTCTGAGGAGAGGAAAAGTTGACTAACAACAGATCTGGAGTCTACTGTTTGAATGTAAACTTTCATATCAATATATGTGTGTGAATACAAATATATACTACACATACACACACACACACACACGTGCAATGGACCAAAAAGGAAAAGAATAAAAAGAACAGAGTAAGTTCTGGCCACTAAAATTATGTCAGTATTAGGCAAATGCCAGTTCTAAGTTAATCACATAGGATACATTTTTGCCTTTGGCTTAAAGAGAAATTTATTTTTTCACAGTTCCAGAAGTCCAAGATTAAGCTAATGGCAAGTTTTATTTCTTCTGAGGCCTCTCTCCTTGGCTTACAGATAGCTGTCTTCTTGATCTGTCCTCATATGGTCTTTCGTCTCTCTGTGTGTCTTCTGTATTGTAACCTCCTTTTCTTTTTTCTTTTTTTTTAAATTTAGGATAAATTTTTATTGTTGTGAAATAACCTATCTGAAATCTAACTTACTGTTGAAAATAAAAACTGGAAAAATGGGGAATATTAACAAAGTTAGTGACATCTGTCACTAAGGTTGAGGCCACACTTAGGAAGTACCATCCATTCAATTTATTATATACATTGAGTGCTAGGTGATGAAAGGATTTTAAAAGTCTGAAAAGGATCTGAGGCAGCTTCACAGAAAAATCACATTTGAACTGGCTCTTGAAAAAGAAAACAAAAATTTTCTGGTTCTAAAGCTAATATATGCCCACTGTAGAATCTTTAGAGCGAACATTGTACAAGAAACCCCACCACCCAAAATGGGTCACTGTTAGAGTTTCACATGCTTCCTCCCTCCTTTTCTTCTTTTTTTCTTTTCCTTTCTTTCTTCCTCTCTAGCTCTCTCTCCTCTCTCTTTTTTATTTAACATTGGAATTTTAGACTGTTTTTAGTCTGTCTTTCATGTAATATTACATAGTATGTATTTTGAAGAACAGAAGTGTTTTTTAAAAGTATATTAGTTCCTTGTTAATAAATAATACAGGCCTTTGTAGAAAAATTCGAAAATACAAGCTTGCAAATGAAAGAAAGAACAAATAAAAAGAAAAAAGTCACCTGTTATCTCAACAAGCAGAGATGATCACTGTATATATATTGGAGTATAACCTTCAAGGATTTTTCTACGCACATAGATATAGTGCCTGGCACACAGTAGGCACTCGATAAATATCTGTTAAATGAAAAGAATGAGTACAAATGTTTTAAAGATATGTATACATTTACAAAAATGGAAATCATACCATAGAGTTTTTAAAACATATTTTTTCACTTAACAAGATATGGTCTCCTATCCTGAGTTATGTCCATAAACACGGGTCTACACCATTATGGCAAATGCTCCTTAACCGCTTGACTGTGCCATAAATTGACATCCAACCTACTACTGCTAGACAGTCACACTGCCTGGTGGACAGGAGACTGACAGGTGGAGATGGGCCCTGAGCTGAGACTTTTCAATGAAGGAAAACACGGCCAACGACAAAGACACAGGAAGTGCAGGTTGAGTTTAAGAAACAAAAGAATTATAGTTTCACTGAAAGACTGAAGCAATTATCAGACTATACAGTTAATTAAAAGACCGAATGGGGTCATCATGTGAAGATCTTGACGCTAACCCAACCACAATTACTATCTCCCAACATTTATAACAGGTTACAAATAGAATATTTCTGATCCTTCACTGCAATCTTGTGAGGTATTCTTAAGAAGCATTATTATCTTGCCATGCTTACTGGTACGTTTTACTAATAGTACCAATGTAAAATACAGAAACTTCTTCTCTACTCTTCATGGTGATATGCATCAAAGGAGAGGATACATAGAGAAACCTGGTTTGGTCTTTCTTACGTTGCTTACAACCTACTGAAACAAGCAAGACCTTCCCATATAAAATGACAGTATATCATAAAACATTTGCGTGATAGAGACCAAACTGTACAATAGAACAAAGAATAAGTCCAGAAAGATTTCAGAGACATACATACATACATATGTACATACAGGAAGGAAGGAGGGAAGGAAAGAAGGAAGGAAGGAAAGAAGGGAGGGAGGGAGGTGGGGGGAGGGAGGAAGGAAATTGGAACCTGCAGAAATGAGGTAAGGTTTTATAAAGAGTTAGGACTTGAACTATGTCTAAAAATAGGTAGGATTTAGACTGGGGTAGGGAAGGCATTCCTTGCACTGGAAACAGCACAGGCAAAGACGTGGAGGCCAAATGTGCACAGAACACCCACTCAGATGAATCTAGCTACAGCAGAGGGAGCAAGGTACATGTTCCTGAGTAATAAGAGGTTATATTGGTTTAGCAAAAGCTGATTAAAAAATTGTAGAGAGAAAGCCAAACCAAAGAATATACTATAACTCAAACGTTGTCCAAAATTGCTTTTGGGGATAAATAAACAAAAATACAATTTCAATCGCTAAGACACTGTGTGATGGATTGGCCCACTCAATATTTGTTCCCACGTCTTTCTAGTCCAGTTCTGTATCTAGAGGCTAGAGAGTTGCAAACTACATTTCCCACATTCCTTTGCAGCTAGGGGTCTAGAAAAGATTTAGATTCCACCAATCAGAGAGCAAAGTGGTGGGGTCCAGGCACCCATTTTGCTGGTACATTTCTAGCAGGTGCCACAGACAGCACTGGAGCCAACAACTGTGGCTATGAATTCCTGATCATCAGATTTGGCCTAAGTGACGTGCTCCTGGAGCATATGTTCAAACAATGAGAAACCGGCTTCCTGGCTTCCTGATGGAGGCACAAGAGCTGCCCCTAAAGCCAGATGAGTGGTGGTGTTCCTGGTGATTCTTCCTAGAGACCCAGCCTAAAGCCTGGTCTGCCATCTTTCCTAACAATTTTACAGGCCTTAATTCCCCATATTCAATCCCTTTTGCTTAACATACATAGAAGGATCTCTGTTAATATGCAGCTAAACCCTGACTGATATTCTTAATTTTATTTTTTCCTCCCTCTAAAATTTTCTATTATGAAAATTTTAAACATATATAAAAGTGGACAGAATAGAATAATGGACGTCCATGTAGCAACTTCAACAAGGATCATTTCAGGCCAGTCTTGTTGAAGTTTTACCCCCACCATCACATAGAATTATTTAACAAAAGATCCCAGATATCCTATCATTTGTAACTATTTCAGCACATATCTCTAAAAGGTCAGATCTATTTTTAAAACAATATCACCATATCACGATCACACCTAAAATGTAACAAGAATTCCTTTATGACATTAAATATCCTGTCACACACACTTAATTTCAAAATTGTTATGAATCACTATTATTTTTTTTTATTCTGAAGAATAAGATCACACCTCTCCCAGCTCAGCTCCTGAAAATCAATTATGACAGCTAGGTGAGTGGCTTTGAGAATGTGTTAGGCATAAGGCCAATGACGGTCCTGGTCTTCCTGCCATCTCTTCCCATAACCAACTGAGCCTATTTACACACTTGAGGTCCTTGGTGCACCGGGCTCTTCACTGTATTTCAAAGGGCCTCACACAGGCTAAACAGGTTAACTAAAATGTCAAGAGTCCTTGCTTTTGGCAAGATTGCCTTAATGTGATAATCCTAGATTCTGACTGGCAATGGTATATATCTTTGAGTAAAAAAAGTGGGAAGTGAATTAATATTTTCAAGTTGTAGTCAAAACTCACTGAACAGTATACTTAAGATCCAGATGTTGCATTCCACATCAGTTATACTTCAACTAAAATAAAAGCTTAAAATTGATAGTCTTTGAAAACCTGGGGTCCTCGGGAGGCGGGGAATGGCCTTCAGTAGTGAAAGGCTGGGACCCAGTAAGCATTCTCATAAGAAAAGGTGTTTTCTCTCTTCTTACACAAAACTCATGACTTGGGGGACGAGGGGAAGATGGCGGAAGAGTAAGACGCGGAGATCACCTTCCTCCCCACAGATACACCAGAAATACATCTACACGTGGAACAACTCCTACAGAACACCTACTGAACGCTGGCAGAAGACCTCAGACCTCCCAAAAGGCAAGAAACCCCCCCACGTACCTGGGTAGGGCAAAAGAAAAAAGAATAAACAGAGACAAAAGGGTAGGGACGGAACCTGCACCAGTGGGAGGGAGCTGTGAAGGAGGAAATGTTTCCACACACTAGAAGCCCCTTAGCGGGCGGAGACTGCGGGAGGCAGAGGGGGGAGCTTTGAGGCCGCGGAGTAGAGCACAGCAACAGGGTGCGGAGGGCAAAGCGGAGCGATTCTCGCACAGAGGATCAGAGCCGACCGGCACTCACCAGCCCAAGAGGCTTGTCTGCTCACTGCTCACCCGCTGGGGCGGACGAGGCTGGGAGCTGATGCTCGGGCTTCGGTCAGAGCGCAGGGAGAGGACTGGGGTTGGCGGTGTGAACACAGCCTGCAGGGGGCTATTGCGCCACGGCTAGCCGGGAGGGAGTCTGGGGGAAAAGTCTGGACCTGCCGAAGAGGCAAGAGACTTTTCTTTCCCTCTTTGTTTCCTGGTGCGCGAGGAGAGGGGATTAAGAGCGCTGCTTAAAGGAGCTCCAGAGACGGGTGCGAGCGGCGCTAAAAGCGCGAACCCCAGAGACGGGCATGAGACGCTAAGGCCGCTGCTGCCGCCACCAAGAAGCCCGTGTGCGAGCACAGGTCACTCTCCACACCCCCCTTCCGGGGAGCCTGTGCAGCCCGCCACTGCCAGGGTTCCGTGATCCAGGGACAACTTCCCCAGGAGAACGCACGGCGCGCCTCAAGCTGGTGCAACGTCACGCAGGCCTCTGCCGCCGCAAGCCCGCCCCGCACTCTGTGCCCCTCCCTCCCCCCGGCCTGAGTGAGCCAGAGACCCCGAATCAGCGGCTCCTTTAACCCCGTCCTGTCTGAGCGAAGAACAGACGCCCTCCGGCGACCTACATGCAGAGGCGGGGCCCAATTCAAAGCTGAGCCCTGGGAGCTGTGAGAACCAAGAAGAGAAAGGGAAATCTCTCCCAGCAGCCTCAGAAGCAGCGGATTAAATCTCCACAATCAACTTGATGTACCCTGCATCTGTGGAATACATGAATACACAACGAATCATCCCAAATTGAGGTGGACTTTGAGAGCAAGATTTATTATTTTTTCCCCTTTTCCTTTTTGTGAGTGTGTATGTGTATGCTTCTGTGTGAGATTTTGTCTGTATAGCTTTGCTTCCACCATTTGTCCTAGGGTTCTATCCGTTTTTTTTCTTCTTTTAAAAAAAAAACATTTTTTTTCTTAATAATTATTTTTTATTTTAATAACTTTATTTTATTTTATCTTACTTTATTATATTTTACTTTATCTTCTTTCTTTCTTTCCTGCCTCCCTCCCTCCCTCTCTCCCTCCCTCTCGCTCGCTCTCTTTCTTTTTTTCTTTCTTCTTCAGGACACTGGTCCACAGGAGACCTCCCAGCTCCACATAATATCAAACGGCGAAAATCTCCCAGACATCTCCATCTCAACACCAGCACCCAGCTTCACTCAACGACCAGCAAGCTACAGTGCTGGACACCCTATGCAAACAACTAGCGAGACAGGAACACAATCCCACCCATTAGCAGAGAGGCTGCCTAAAATCATAGTAAGTCCAGACACCCCAAAACACACCACCAGACGTGGACCTGCCCACCAGAGAGACAAGATCCAGCCTCATCCACCAGAACACAGGTACTAGTCCCCTCCACCAGGAAGCCTACACAACCCACTGAACCAACCTTAGCCACTGGGGACAGACACCAAAAACAACGGGAACTACGAACCTGCAGCCTGCAAAAAGGAGACCCCAAACACAGTAAGATAAGCAAAATGAGAAGACAGAAAAACACACACCAGATGAAGGAGCAAGATAAAAACCCACCAGACCTAACAAATGAAGAGGAAATAGGCAGTCTACCTGAAAAAGAATTCAGAATAATGATAGTAAAGATGATCCAAAATCTTGAAAACAGAATGGACAAAATGCAAGAAACATTTAACAAGGACCTAGAAGAACTAAAGATGAAACAAGCAATGATGAACAACACAATAAATGAAATTAAAAATACTCTAGATGGGATCAATAGCAGAATAACTGAGGCAGAAGAACGGATAAGTGACCTGGAAGATAAAAGAGTGGAAATAACTACTGCAGAGCAGAATAAAGAAAAAAGAATGAAAAGAACTGA